TACAAAACAAATCCTTTTATTAAGGGGATTTGTTCCGTGAAGTTTGGAATCAGTCAAAGGGCCACACTTGAAGACCTAGAGGGCCACATGTGGCCTCAAGGCTGCAGATTCCCCACCCCTGGCATTGTAAAACTCTATATATGACAGACCTTTTCCATATCTTGGTCAGTTTCGCTGAACCATTTTTCCCTCTATTTTTATCCTTTGTTATAAGGCATGACCCGCTGATAAAGGGAGCAGGAAGAGACAAATTAGGAAATGGATATGACATAAAAAACAAAAAAAAATCAACAAAATATTCTTTTTCTTTTTTGTAAAAACAGAAGAAATTCTACTCATTAGATGTTGTTTTATGGCAAGACAGACAAGCATCACATATGGTAAAACAGAACATGTAGGTTTTGCATATCAGTGGAGGTAGTCCCCATGATGACAGGATAATGGCAGCTCATTTAAGTATCAAAATAATTTTTAGGACATTAAACTTCTATTAATATAGCCTAAGATTATTTTTGTTTTCTTGAGAGTCACCTCATACTGCTGACTCATATTGAATGTTTAGTCATTTAAAATCTGGGATATTTTCTGCATAAACTGACATGCCTTCCCTCATCTTGTGCCCATATTTGTGTATGTGTGTGTGTGTGTGTATGTATGTGTGTGTGTGTGTATTAAGTACAAGTACAATAATTTACATATTCCTTCTAAATTCCATCTTGTCAAATGTGAACCCCACTCTAGTCTGTCATGATCTTCTTGCATTCTGATTCTGTCATCAAGTAAGTTAGCTATCCTTCCCAACTGTGTGTGATCTACAAATGTGGTGATAAGAATGTCATTTCTCTCTAAGCCATTGATAAAAGCATTCAAATAAAACAGGACCTAGGTCTGAGACCTATGGTGACACACCACTAGAGGTCTCACTCTGGCTTTATATTTTTCCCCTCAACTAATAGTTGTCAAACTTTTTGGTGTCAGGACCCTCTTACAATCTTAAAAATGGTTTTGAGGGTCTCCACAGGACCATATTATAAGAACCACTGCCCTATGTCATTGCTTTTGAAATATGGCCTCAACTACTTATGAATCCCCCTAACATAACAACCATTGTCTGGTCTGCATCTCTCTATTCTGTCCACATGAAAATTAATATTTGTCTAATTTCTTGCTGACATCCAAGTATTTGTCTATAGTATTTGCCCAAGTATATGTCTATAGCATTGTCCTAACCTACCAGTCTAGTAGCCACAATTGGAAAAGGAAATTAGGTTAGTTTGATATAATTGTTTTTGCAGAACCTAATTTGACTTTCTTCTGCTCAGTACTCACAGACCATTTCTTCAATACTCCACTTAAAGTTTTGCCAAAAATTGGTATCAAGTTCATAAGTTTGTATTTTATAATCCATCATCTTCCCCTTTTTAAAAATTAATACAATAAATGTCCTCCTTCCATCTTCCAGTTCCTCCTCAATTATCCACAACTTGTCAAAGAGCACTAATAGTTCAGTGATCACATTTGCAAGCTATTTTAGTACCCTAGGGTGTAAGTCTTTTAGGCCAGGAGAGTTAATCTCATATCAGGGAGGTATTCTCCTAACTATTTCTTTATCTCTTTGGGGCTTCAATTTTTTTCATTATCATATTTGTTTTTCTAGCAGATCTTCCTACTAGTAAAACGTTCTTCTTGACAGAGAAAAGATAGAAGCAAAATAGGAATTGAGTGGCTCCTTTTCTCAGTTGATTGTTTTCTTCTTCTTGGAAAGCCTTAAGAACAAGCTAGATGTCTACACTAAGTGCCATCCTGCCTACTTGGTTTTGACTCCAAGAAAATCATACTTTCTCTCAGGATAAATTCACCACCTGAAATCTCATCATGGAGATTGATTCAGCTTTGATACTCAACACTTCCTCCACACTTTCCAAGAATATCATGTCCTCTTCTCATAGGTACCCTTTGGTGACACCCCCCCCCAATTCTCAACTCCCTTTTGTGCACTGCCTTCCCCCATTACATTGTAAGTTTCTTAAAAGTAGGGACTGTCTTTCTTATTTGTATCTTTTATCCTTAGCACAGTGCCCATCACATAGTAGGCATTTAATAAATGTTTATTGAATGAATGAATAAATGGATCCAAAGGATGAAGTCAATGACTCTCTTAGTCCTTGAACTTTTCTGGTGATTTTACACTAAAGTAGGGGTTATGGCTCCACCACCCTAGACTGTTCTGGCAGTCTGACAGTGGTGTCAGAGACTCAGGGGCATACTAGTAAATATTTAACAACTAGCTCTCAAAAAATAAATGTACCCATGACATATTTATACGTTTGATCTGCATTAATAATGCTTTCTCTATCACTTTCTTAAGTCTAGATGCCCAAAAAAATAATAAATCAAGCCCTAATTTGCAGCATTTGCAGATACCTAGAAATTAACAATCCTTCTTCCCAAGCTAGTTTAAGTTAGTCCCAGCAACACCCCTAGGACCCCAACTAAAGTCACGGACAAGGGAAAAAAGGATGATTATTTTCTGGATGTAACATGGATTACTCTCTCCCTATTCCTGGGGTGTGGGGGTATGATTTCACCCTAAAAGCAAAGTGATAAATTGTCCTTCTGGATCAATGCTTAAAGTCCAGAAGATGGAATTCAGCTGAAAAGAAAAGATAAGTTCCCAAGGCAACTCTAGAGAGAGAAGAATTTGTAAAAATTTATCTAACCTGAAAAACCATGTTCTTTTCCTTCCCTTCTTTCTCCATTTTCTTCTCTACCCAGCGATGGGGAACATGTTTCAAATGGGAGCATAGATGATTCCCTGTGATTGAGTAGAGAAAATTTCGACCTTCCGTTAAGAACCTAAAGCTGTTTCTCAGAAGGAATAGTGGATCCTTCTCTTCTCCCTGTCACACTGGAGCAAGGACTGTTGCTTTTTCATCCTGGTATCCTCCATTCTTAGCACAGTGCCTCAAATTGAGAAGTCCCTTAACAAAAGTGTATTGAATTGAATTGGATGTAATAGAATGGAATTTTAAAATCAGAGAAGGGAAAAGAATGCAAGGTTGTACCCAGACCCAAGGGTTATTCTCTTTTTTAGTGAGGGTCAAGGTTGGAGAAATGTTATTTCCTAAATGCCCCTGTCATGCCCAGGACTGGCCAGCATATATATGAACACACACACACACACACACACACACACACCCCTATACAAACACACTCCATCCTTACCATGCTCTCATTCCAGAAAAATGAAAGCAGTAACAAGCTTTTCATCAGCTTCCTATTAAAAATAAAAGATTTTTATTAGAGATGGAAGGAGACCTGTAAACAGGAATCTTACCAGCTCCACCTTTGAAAAGTAGCTGAACCTTCCCTAGTCTGCAATTGTATGATGAACTAAGAAAGAAGGACTTGAGCATTGAGGAGAGAGCTTAAAGTGTAGGACAAGGAGAGGCTGTTTGAGTATCAGACCTATAGAGGTTGGAGAAAGAGAACCAAATATTTGGAAATGAGATTTTCTTGGGGTTGAATTATATGAACTCATGGAGAGGAAAGGTATTCTTTATTATTAACTTACTCTTTCACCTAGATCCCCTGGAAAATGATCATTTTACTGATGAGGAATCTGAGGTCCAGAGAAGTGACTCATGCAAGATAACAAAATTTTTAAAAATTCAGTTTTATTTTGTTTTCAGTTCCTAGTTCTCTCCCGACTACCTCCTCTTCTCCACCCACTGAGAAAGCAAGAAAAACAAAACCTATTATAAACACATGTAGTAAAGCAAACCAATGTTTGCATTAGCCATGTCCAAAAAAAGGAAGAAAGAAAAAAAGAAAGAAAGAAAGAAAGAAAAAGAAAGAAGGAAAGCAGAGAGGAAAGAAATAAAGCAAAAGGAAAGGAAAGAGAAAATGTGATTCAATTTGTACTCTGAGTCCATCACCTCTCTGTCTGGAGATGGATAGCATGTTTCATCATGAGTCCTCTGAAACTTCTTCATTTCTTATAGCCCAATAGTATTCCATCACATTCATAATTTGTTTACCATTCCAATTGATGTCCCAGTTGATGGACACCCTACCCATTTCCAATTCTTTGCCACCATGAAAAGAAGCTGCTATAAACATTTTTGGACATATGATTCCTTTTTCTCTTCCTTTGATAGTTTTGGGGTATAGATTTCATAGTGGTATTGCTGGGTCAAAGGGTATACATATTTTAATAGCTTTTTGGGCATAGTTCTAAATTGTTTTCCAAAATGGCTGGACCAGTTCTCAGCTCTACCAACAGTGCATTAATGTCCCTGTTTTCCCACAATCCCTCCAGCATTTGTTATTTTTCTTTTTTGTCAACTTTGCCAATCTGATGAGTAAAACAACAAAGTTGTTTTAATTTGCATTTCTCTGTTGATTAGTGATTTTGAGTATTTTTTTCCCTTGGCTATTGATAGCCAAGGAAATGCAATTAGTGAATGGCAGAGTTAAGTTTAGAATCCAGATCTCTTGACTTCCAACATGGTACTTTTCCCCCTATACCACAATATTTTCTATTCCACTCTAATTCTTAGAGTGGGAGGGGGCTAGTAATGGCAGAAGAGGGAATGAAAGGCATGAAGACATGGGGTAGGGATGGTGGAAAGAAGGGCCGAGTATCCAAGGCAGGGAAGGGCATTGGTGACAAAGGTGTGCTATATCCAGAATATGAGGCTCCAATGGATATTTGTCCTGCAGTGACAAAGAGAGCAGGGTAAGTCCTCATAGAGAAAAAAGAGATGAGACGCTTCATTCCTGAATTCAAAACCAAGGAACATTTTGTCTACCACACCCTATCCCCAATATCCTGGGCTACTGCTGCTGAAATTAGAGGTATACAGAAAGGGCATCATGAAGATGCTAATCCTTCCCCAGCTTTGTGCTTTGTCAAGGGAGGAAGTGATGTGAAGCTGGACTCAGCTTCCATTTTGACCCCAGTTTGTGATTCTTATCTGCCAATGGGTCAAGGAAAATCAGCCCCTCCCACTGCAAGACTTGAAAATAAAGGAGGAAAGAGGTGAAGGTGGTTCTGCGTTCTTACCACCACGTGATTCTTGCCAGACACTGGGTAAGGCATTGATCATATGTCTTCCTAATGCTGTCCCCAAGCACAGTTGATAGTGATGAGGTTCTGAGGGTTCAGGGGCAAGAAGAGGAGGCATAGGAAGACTGGGTGGGGGCTGCCAGGGAAGAAAAGAAGAAGAGGGAGAGGAAACTTGGCCCACCTTCCTGTGCCTCCATATCAGTGGTCCTGGGGAGAAATTGGGATCATTCCTATACCAGGAAGGCTTAGCCTTTTGGCCTCCCTAAAACAAACTAGAGGATGGACTGAGAGATCCCTTGGACCAGCCCCACAACCCTCATCTATTTTTTGGTACCTGTGCAGAAGTGGTCCATTTTGAAGTATCTTGTGAGGCTAGACCCTGAGAAGCAGCTCCAAGATTGGACCAGTTTTCCTCAGAACACGGAGCTGGGAAGAGCAGGGTGAGTAAGGTAAGGGTAGAGACTGATTCTCTTTGACCAATGGGGGAGGGGAGGATATGGTGAGAAAGCTGGGAAAAGGGGCATGGGTGGACTAGGTGGCAGGAAGATTGATAAGTTGGGGACTGTGGACTTAGTATGCCTGGAGGGTTAAGGATCACGAGGCATTCACCTGGAAATTGAGTTTCCCACTTCAATTTCTTTTCCCTTCGCCATTTGGCTCTTCGATTGGAAAACCAAACCTGAGATTAGAATGAGATCAGATAGCTTCTGCCAACTCCATGATCTCTTCCCATATATTCTCACTAGCGTTCCCACTCTGGCTCTTGTCCCCATCTCTTTCTCTACTCAGGAGGAGAGCTTCTATCAGCACTTACTCTGCCATTTATTAGCATCTCACCTTCACTGTAGCCTCAGGCAGAGAGGTGGCAGCAGCTAGCTTTCCCCGGGTAGCTGGATCAGGATACTGTGCCCTCTGGAACTCTGTCAGGAGACTCACAGAGTGAGGGCATGAGAGACACAGCACAGGAGGATAATAGATGCCTGTTCTTAATTCCATGTCTAAAGTAGATGTATTCTGCAACTTTCTTGCTCCCCAAAGTAGGTCCACTCTCTAACTTCTTTTCTTGATCAGTGCCGGGAATGCCTGACTCTTGTCACTGATTTGTTCCCATCTCTATTCCCACCCTCATTACCCAAAGAAGATTGTGTGCCTGCAGACTGAACCGCCGCTGTGATTGGTGAGTGGGGTACTGGTGGGAGGAGTGGAGAGGGAGAAGTTTTCTTCTTCTAGGAGACTACTCAGCATCCTCCCCTCCCCTCCCCTTCCTAGACCCAGCACCTTTTTCCAGGGCAGCAGCCTGATATGGAGAGAAGACAGTTCGATTTCGCTGGCGTGTGCCTGGCTTGACCGCCTGGGGTGTCTCAGAACCACTGTGAGGAAAGTAGAGACCTGGAGCAGGGAAATCTGCAGAGAGGGGAGTGGCTGATTGTTACTACTTGGCAATAGGATCTCTAGCATCTCAAAAGCACTGGGGCAGTGACAGGGGCTAAAGAGACCTGAGCTAGTGCACATCCAGCACAAATGGATTCTGCACATAGAGATTCATGGACAGAGGAAGGACAGAAGTGTGTCCAATCAGCACTCAACAGTGACTCTTTGCAAGCAAGGATTATGGGACTGGCCCAAATTCCAGGTGATGGATACTGAAATGTGTTTCTGGGTGGACACTCTTAAGAGCCCAGGAGGGAGCAAATAGCCCTTTTTTCCTACCTGTTTCCCTTCTTCCCTGATAGCCCTATGCATTGCTCCATTTCCCACCTGGCAGTGTGAGTTGGGCCCAAGGAAGCCTCTTGTCCTCTTGTAAGGCCCTCAGAATGCGATTGATGGAGGAGACCTGGGCAAGGGGGATGGACAGGATTAGATCAGGGGCTATACTTGGTGGCTAAGGCTAGAATTCACTCTAAGGTTGAGACTCTTCTTTTGTCTCCATAGCCCTCCGCATCCTCCCACCCCTTCCCTTATTAGCAGTCTCCTCCATGTTTACTAAATAGGAGCAGTCTTCTTTCTCTTTTCTCTTTTGAAACTTTCTTTTCCTCTTCTCACTTTTGTCTTGCCCCGCTTTTTCAGGTGATTAAATTCTAGGTCCCAGTAGAACTCAGGGAACCTGGCTTATTTCCCTCCATGCATCCTAATGGTGGTACCCCACACTGTCTTCCAGAAATGAACTTCTGCTAAGCCTTTCTCACTGGGTGGGGACAAATACTCACGCTGGGTGTCCTGTCTTTGGTGCAGAGCCCTTCAGCATATAACTGATGACGGATCTCCCAGGCAAAGATAGCTGGACACTCACCCTTGAGCTGGGCAATACGAGCTACCACAGGGGGTGTAGCTAGGCGAGGCTTGCTTCCCCCAGTGCCCTTGGGCTCCAGGGTACCTGTGCGGTAGTATCTCCCCAGAATCTTGCTCACACAGCCATTAGATACCTGGGTAGGGTGGGAGGATGGAGAAGTACACAACATGGGGGAAGGAATTGCCTCTTTTCAGAGGAAGCCTCTCTGGTGAAATAAGACTTCAAGGATCAAAAACAAGAGAATGCTACAGAGGACAGTCTTGCCTTTGGGCTCTAGATGCTCACTTTCCAACCTCAAGGAGCATCCTCTGAGAATGCTTTATGGAAACTAGAGCCAGTTTCTCATTGAGCTTCCTGCCCACCAGAACCCAACACCAGGTTGATACTTACTTTGCCCTCCCCACCCCCAGCTGCTACCTTGAGGCTTCTGGAGATGTCACAGGGCCGAACTCCACTGACTGCCAGCTTCACAATCTGCTGCCGGGTACCGGGGGGCAGAGGTCGTCCATTCACAAAGATCCCCCCTAGCTGATTCACGCTACTGATCCCTGGGAAGAAGCAGGAGATATCATACACAGTAGAGGCTCTCCCTCTACCTTTCTGCAGTAGGGTACCCCCTAGGAGGGCATCCCTCAGGGTCAACCAGCATGACTCCTGAGATAGGTGGGGCCCACCCCTAGAGGCCAGATTTTCGCTCTACTCTTCAGGGCCTCTCAAAGGTACCACTTCCTTCTCCCTGGGGCATAGCTGAGGGGTCAATTTTTCCCACCCAGTCATATTTTTCTTTCAGTTCTAGGGGTGGTGATGAAGTGATGTTATATTAAGGGAGAGTGTTGTTCCTCAGCACAACAGTAAAGGATAGGTGAGTCAGAGTTGGGAGAGGTAAAGTCCTAAATGGATCAGATACCACCCCACCCCACCCCACCCCACCATAGCTTTTTCAGGGTTCTCTTACCGTTTTGCTGCATGACCTGGGATGACTTGCCTTGACTAGAGGAAAGCAGATGTGAAGATCAGGAATGGGGAGGCAAAACTGGGCTATCTCCTGCTTTAGGATTGGACCTGTAGTGATACAGAAAATTTGTAGATATTCCCTTGTATAAGTCAATCTAGAAATGGTAGTAACTTGTGTCTCAGAGTAATGATAGCATGTTACTCTACTAATTGAAAGACAGGCAGACTAGTATAATAATGGCTAACATTTATATAGTATTTTAAGCACTTGACAAATATTATACCATCTAATCATCACAACCTTGTGAAATAGTTGTTCTTATTACCCTCATTTACTTTTCCTCCTAAACCTCCCCTTTTCTGAACTCCCCAATAACTATCAATGATACCACCATCTTCTCAATCATCCAGGCTTGCAACCTCTATCACCCTCAACTCCTCAATCTAATTCACCCCACATATCCAATCTGTGCCCAATCTTGTGTTCCTACCTTTATGTACTACCTCTTATACATTCCTTTCTCTCTACTCACACAGCCACCACCTTAGTTTAGGCCCTCATCATCTCTTGCCTGAACTACCACAATAGCCCTTCTAACTAACTGCTCTTCCTGCCTTATTTCTCTCTCCATTCCAATCCATACTCCACTCGGTTGCCAAAGTGATTTTCTTAAAGCAAACATCTAACTGTTATCCCTCCTCTCCCATACACACTAATATACTCAATAAATTCCAGTGACTACTAGATTTATGGGGATAACCCAAAGAGATCAAAGAAAGAGAAAAATGATTTATATCTGCAAAAATATTTGTAACAGGTCTTTCCATAGTAGCCCTGTTGTCGTTATTTGTCCTTTGTTCTTGAAAAGGACCACGACATCAGGGAGGTGATGCCATGCCTTGCAAGTGAATTAGATTTAAGTGAGGGAGGGCTGTGCAAAGTCACCAGTCTCACTTTCTCTTCCAGAGCCATTTTGGTCCAGTGGCCAAATATAAATCAGGACAATTGGAGGTGGCCCAGGATGCAGTGGGGGACTTTGGCCTTTTCAAGTTAAAATCTTTAATAGGTTTCAGGTTGACTGAGGCAACACCCATTCAGTGATTAAGGCTGATAATAATAATAAGAATAACAATAATAATAAGAAATAAAGAAATATTTCTTATAGATATATATTTGCTCTCCCCACCAAATAATAATAATAACAATAATAACATCAACAGCAAGAAGAAAAAAAGAGGCAGAGAATGGCCTCTTTACCTAGTCAAAAAAAAAATCTCTCTGGGAGAACCAAAAACAAACAAACAAACAAACAAAAAATTGTTTAGTTGGGGAGGGAAGCAGTGGGAGAGATAGTAAAATGTGTGTAAAATAATAAATTCGCATGGCTTTTTATTACTTCCATAATCAAATAGAAAATCTTCTATTTGGGACTTCACAACATGGATCTTTCCCACCTTTCTAATCATCTTGCATTTTACTCCCTTTCACTCACTCTATGATCCAGTTGATCAGGACAAGGTGGTAATCGTCATAGGCTTGGGCCTGGGACCTGGCACTCCCAGGCAGCATCCTGCCTAGCCCATACACCCAGGTCAGCTCTTGGGCTGATGATCCAGTTGAGGTTCCAAAATCATTTGACCACATCTTTAGTGGTTCATGTCTCTACATATCCTGAAGACAACTCCCCAGAGTTACTGTGATCCTCTAGCTTAGTGTTCTATCAGTTGCCTTCAAGTACCTCAAGGGAATTGGTCCTCAGTCCCTGTACCATCAGGATGCCACACTCCTCCCTGTTTTCTTGCAAAGTCATTCAGGAAAAGCTATCTTTTCCCTCTTCCATAGTATACTCTCTGAAATACTCTAGTAGAACCTATGATGGAAAGGGGGAGGAACTAGCCTTTCCTCAGGCTGTCTTCTGAAGACCTCAGCAGCTCAGGCTTGGTCTAAGAGCCCCATCAGAAAAGAGTCTATATGGTATCTTGGATACAAAGCTGACCTCAGGGTGAGGAAGGCATGGATTCAAGTCCTGCCTCTGACACATACTAGCACTGTGACCCTGGGTAAGTCATGTCCTACCAATGTGCCCCAGCCAATTCCCTGTGACTATAAGTTGCAGAATACGTATCAATCCATTTGCCTTGGTGGAGAGTTTCTCTATACTATTGATGTAATTTTTAAAAAAATTAGAAGGGAAGGATCTAGATGGGGAAAACTCTGACTATTTCTAAAAGACATCTCTATGGCTAGCTTTCTGGTCTGCCAGAATTTCTGACCTGTCTGCAGACATGAAATGAGGTACAGGGATGCTCTCTTGCAGGCACTGACCCCACAAACCCTTCCCCGGGGTTGTTAGACAATAATAGTAGAAATGCAAGGGCCTTCTGCTGACATATGGTGGGCATGTTAGGAGAGTCTCTCAGGTAGCTAAAGACTACCTTTGGCCATTTGTCTGGTCAGTGGAAAAGAGGAAACAAAACAGAAATGGGAGTGCCAGGAAACAGCTTACACACGGGACTTTTCCTTCATGGTGCCACGTTGAAGTAAAGTATGTATTGAGCATCCTTTCAGTGGCCCAGAATTGTGTTGAAAAATGGAGGCAGGCTGGGAAAGCATTCAGAAGAATAAGATAAAGTCATCACATCACAAATTTAGAACCAGAAGGGACCTCAAAAGCTATCTAGTTCAACCTCCTTGATTTACTGATTAGGAAGCTGTGATCCAGAGAAGTGATTTTTTTCCCATTGTCATACATGTAGGAAGTAGCAGACATGAAATTTGTTCCTCAGTCCCCTGCTGACAAAGCCACTGCTCTGTCCACTGTGCCCCTTCATCACCTGCTCTCTCTAGGAGCTGCAAATCAAGTTGGGGCAAAGAAGACTAACAAATGGGAAATGAAGGTGGACAAAACAGTGTAGGATACAATACCAAATTGTAAAACTAAGTGCTAGATTAGCTTCCATTTTACTTTCCAAAGAGTCTAGAATGTATGTTTCACCAACCACTTATTCTTCCAAGAAGTGAGAAAGAAGAGTCAAATTTTTTCATATTGGGCAAGAGATGCAGCATGCCTAGGGTCTAGAAGTAAAGCAAATAGTAAAATGCAGAGCACTTCTAGCCCTCAGGATTTGGGGTTCTTAGTTCTGGTGCTTTTTGTCTTTTGGTCCCCTTTGCCACTCTTCTGAATGGCTGCCATGAAAAGCAACAGGATAATGGAGCAAGAACCTTAAGGAGTTACATTAAGGCAATGTGAAGAAGTAGATTTTCAACTCAGCCCTGAGTCCTGGGTGTGTCTGCTCCCAAAGATGAAAATTAGGAGTGAAGAAACTGAGAGAAGTTCAGGTTCAGTCCATCTAAAATCACCCTCCTCCCATACATGCACCCTATTTCCAAAAGCCACACACATACTTACAATAAGAACATTAACTTATTTAACAAATAATTGATGATCATGAAAATAGGAGAGGAGGATAGAAGGATGAAAGAGGCAGAAGCAAAGTTGCTTCAAGGACAGCAGGAAGAATGAGGTTGGGATTGACCACACAAAGACATGGAGCCAGCACAGAGAGGCAGAACAGACAATGAATTTGCAAGGTGAGCTACCTGTGTGGAGATAAGTGGGGAGCTTTAGGTAAGAGATCAGCCAATCTCTCCTGGGAGGGTGGACTGCTGGAGTTCCACTTCAAGCACCCTGAGGTGATGAGTTCTGGTCCCAGGAATAGTCTCTCGCCTCCCCTCACCAGGGGAGCTGCTCCAGTCCTGCCTTGGGGAGGGGGGGTCCAGTTCTACAGAGAGCCAGAGCTCAGGTGCAGAGGGCAGTCTTCTGGGAGCAGCCAGTGATGTCACAGGCCATGAGGAGAGGAGAGAGGAGGAGGGAGGTGTGCACCATGGACCTGACTCTTTCTCTGAGGCAAGTCAGCTCAAAGCTACCTTCCCTATTCTCTCCCCAAGTTCTGAGGGCTGAGATTCCACCTTGCCCACACCCCCTCCATCACCAAGCATTCAACTGTGTCAGGCCTTTCGGGGTGGGTATGCACACATTCCCACTCATGGACACATATATACACATATACACATACATATGCAAACATACACATACATACCACACACCCCCTCCACTTTCACATTCATATGAAGAGAAAAGACTAAGGAACACACAGTATGGGGGATGCAGAATCTTTCTAGTTTACTATCAAGCCATGTAGACACATCCACATAAAGATATATACTTGAACACTCCTGGACACATACATAAATACCTGAGTAGATTTCCTCCATCTCAACTATGGTTTTGTTGAGATATGTGTGCCATATGTATATTTCATTTTCATATATATGCATATCATAGAAAATATGTAGAGATGGAAAGAAAGAAAGGAAGGAAGAAAATGGAAGGGAAGGAAAGGAGAAAAGAAGGAAGATTTCTATTAGATCAAATTGAGCTCTCAAACACCAGGTCACTGGGCATGGTGGACATATATTTGGTAGTCCTGGCTTTACATGGAATGAGATCTCACAGAATCTCCAGTGTACTACCTTATTTTGATGACTTGTTAGGGAAGGTGCTAGTGGCATCTTGTCATTGCTATATAAGAATGCAGGTGGTAGGGGTGATGCCGATGGGTATATGTAGAAGAGTATGTGGGGATTCCTGTATGCTGGTGTGTAGCCTCAGCTTTTCCTCCTTCAATCCCAAGTGCCAAATCCCTTCTCACCAGGATTAACATATGTGCATGTGTGATCATCAGGAATGACATTCAGTGTTCACAACTACCTCTACATATTGGCTAGGTCACCATTTTGAAGTGCACAGGGTTAATCTAGATTCTCTAAAGGTCTGGTAGTGACTGGACAAGAGGGGGACAAAGAAAAAAGAAGGCCAGAACCACAGAAGTCTCACTGTATCTTCACATTCTAGTGTCAAACCCTAATAGAATCCAGCAGTAAGAGTAAATGGACAGTCAGCAATGTGGGGGCAATGAGGCCTGGACTCAACTAGGGGTGGGAGTGTCCCCGTTCTGTTGGAGATGTGCTGTACACTTCTCTAACTTCTTCCTTTTTTATTGTTGGAGGGTCAGAGTTTAGGGCGCAT